CTAGGGTGGGAGTCGGGGCGCGGTTGGGGGTGGTTATCGGCGTGTCCGGAACCAGCCAGCCTCAAGACCTTCCCGAACCTTCTTTCTCTCCACCCTTCCCCTCCAAGGATCCCAGTTACGGGGAATCAGGAGGGGAGGGTGGCTCTGCAGCCCCAGGAGAGCACTTTTCCTGCCTGGCCTGTGGGGAAGACGGGGTTAGGGTTTGGGGTGCGGGACTAAGAGGGACCCAGCACCCCTGTCCATTTGGGAATGTCCGCCGCCCTTGGCCGCTTCGTGGTCCCCACCCGCGAAGGGGGGAGGAGCGCGGCCCCGCAGCTGTCCTGAAGGGCCAGACGAGGAAGGCTAACAAGCCACAATGCTTGGGTTTGGGGACAGTGGGGAGCCAGGGTGCCTGTGGCCGGGGTTAGGGAAGGACTGTGTAGGAGGGATTTAAACCTATAAGGTTGAGTCCATATTTAACACAGCTTTCGGCCCCACGCTGCCAGGTTTCCTGAGGTCTCTGGGCTTGTGCCACCCGTCACCCCCACCAACCCCTGCTTCTGTCCACTCCAAGGCAGGCCCCCCCCCACAGGTCCTTAGCCCACCAGTGGCAGGGTCAAACTTCCAACACGAAGCCTTTCTCATCAGGAGAGAAGCTGCCCTGTCCCTTCCCAGACCTGGGCCTCAGGCATTCTTCCTTCTGATGCCTTTTTTCCACTTAGCCCCTCTGTGTGGGGAGGCCTTTGACTCAATCGCAGAAGAATGCTGTGCACTGTAACAAGCCGAGGCTCTGGGTGGGTGTTTCATCAAGAGGCCTTGCGTGGGGTGTGGAGGTGGGATAACGGTGTGAATGTGTTGAATGTATGTGGATTGTGTGTTGTCTCAATGTGCCCACTGCTCACTGTATGAACACCACCTGGTCGTGTATGTGGTGTGCAGAGCAGGAGATTGTGGGATTGTATAACCATGTGTGACTGTGATGGCTGTGGGGTACATGTCTGTGTTGGGTGTGCTGGTGCGTGATTGTATAATCCTGGGGGAAGTGATTATGTGTGTGGTGATCATGCTGGTTGTGGAGTACCTATGTGTACAGTCCACTGTTGTAACTGTGTTTGTGGGTGTGTGTATATATAGTCCTGTGTGTGACTGTGTGCCTGAGTGACTGGGGGCTGATGCTTGTGAGTGTGGATGGGTGCTCACAAGCAGATGTGAGGAGTGTCCTCTGGGTGTGAGCAAGGCCTGCGTCTGTGTTCATTAATTCACATATCTGAGTGTGCTGCCTGTGGCTGTATATTTATATCTCTGTCTAATGCAAGGGGGTGGGAGATTAACACCCAGGGCAGCCAAATACACCCTTGTAAGGTATGCACAAGGAAAAGTTGGGTTTTGGAGGCTGCTGGTCATTTTCTGACTTACCCCTGAAATATTCCAGGGGAGGAGGTTGGCAAAGCCTCAGCTGCTGGTCATTTGACAGCTGCTGCCAGTCAGAAGGGAGCCCAGGGAGCGAGGGTAAGGCCTGCCAGCAGCACTGTTTGCTGTCAGTGCCAGGCAACAGGCACCAAGGGTGGCATTAAAAAGGTCATCCCTTCCCTTCCAAACCCCTAGCCCAGAGCTACCCCTGAGCAGTCCCCAAGACTGAATTCCTTAACCTCTCCTAGTCTCCCCTCCCAAGCCCTTCTTCAGGCTGAAACGCTGAATCCCCAGTGTCCCAGAAACTCCTCCACCTCCAGGCCTTTGTTCTCCCTCTTCCCTCTACTTAGAATACCCTTTCTAGCTCTTCACATCCCAGTTTCTACTCTTCTTCAGGTCTCAGCTTACATGTCATCTCCTCAGAAATGCCTTCCCTAATATGTCCCCTCCCCCTGCTCAAAAGTCCACCCACCTACTATTTATCCCATCGCCTTGTTTATTTTCTGTACAGCACTACAATCTGCAATTATGTTTCTTTTCAGTTCCTTTTCTGCTTCCCCCACTAGAATGAAAGCCCCATGACTTTGTGTGTCTTGTCTAATGCTATGTCCCCACAGTCCAGCACAGGGCTTCGCATATAGTAGGAACTCAAAAAAAAAAAAAAAAGTTGAATGAATGAAGGAAAGGATGGTCCTACCTAGGCCAGTTCAGGCAACATTTGCTGCTTGCTATGTGCCAGGCCTGGGCCACTCACCACCAAGGAGTCCCAGTGTGCTCAGGGAAACAGACATATGCATGTGCCCAGATTGTGTATATCAAGGCAGGATGAGGTGGTGAGGCTGTAGGATTCAGTTCACTTGGCAAACACTGGCACTCAGTCTGTGCCAGAGCAAATGGCTTTATTTGGCCCAGACCCCTGCCTGCAAAGAGCTCACAGAGTAGAGGATGCTAGAACTGTCTCCTGGGGAAGCAACCCCTCCCTGCTGCCCCCCCATGCAGAGAATAATGCCAAATCACTGGGCTGAGTGATGTGAGGCACTGAGAACCAGGGAAGCCAGGGATGGGAGAACTCCAGGACTGGGGACAGCCTCGTGGACAAAGTAAACTGGGCCTGGAAAGATGAGGATGTGCGTTCTGTGGCAGGCACAGGCTGCTTCGAAAGATAAGCAGAGCCACTGTCTCTCAGACCCTCCATAAGGCGGAGTCCAGGAAGAGCAGAGAAGCTCTGGGCTAGCTACTCTGCCTGACCTCCATTCTCCAAGCTTTTCTGCCCTGCTGTTTGTCCTGGGGCTGACTCCTGCTCACAGTCTCACCTGTGCCCCCTTGCCTCATGGTTTCAGGTGGAGTTTGGCCAGAGAAGACACTGGCAGGAAATCAGAGGGAAGGAGGAGAGTGAGATCAGGCTATTTCTAATACCCTCTTCCCCTGTGATTTTGGCACCTCCCCCCACAGTTCCTTGTGGATGGCCTGCACCCACAGATACATCTCTCTCCGGGTTCATTAACAAGGCTGCCTCCCTTTGCCACTTCAGGCCTATGGGGAGTGACTCCATCCACTGTTGTGAGCCACAGGGTGCTTCACCATCCTTGCCCACACCTCTGTGAATAGTGCCTTCATTAAACCCTCTTCTGGCAAATACTTTGAGCGTTCTGTTTCCTGCTGAGACCCCTAAGGTAAGAACTCCACCCAGGGAAAATGAGCCATTGGCAGAGAATTCCGGAGAGACCCTCTTTCTAAATCACCACCAAAAACTAGAATCAGAAATGTTGTAAACAGATCAAAATCCCATCCTAGGTGACCTGTGGCCTCCTGGCTACCACTCCAGGCAGGGCCCCGAGAGGTCCCTCTTAGTTCACCTTACTCAGGCTTAGGCCTATAGTTACCCTGGCCAGGCAAACTGGGCAGGGAGAGGGCTATGAGAGTGGGGAGGGGTGGGGGGGATGACTGGCAGAGGGTGCGCTTGGAAGGAGAGAGGCTGCAGAGGGCAGTAGTTTCCACCATACCCCAGGGCCTACATGACCTTTCGAAGTCAACCTTCCTGAACCTCAATTCGTGGTCTGTGCAATGGGCAATTAATACTCTCTTCACAGAACTGTTGTGAAACAGTCAAATGCAAGGCTCTGCACATCAGCAAGTGGAAGTTGCTCCAAAAGCTGAGAGGAGCACATTCCCCATTATTACTGGTGCAGGTGGAGGCCACTCTGCTGAATTCCTGTGTGCCAGGAGCTCCAGCCAACCATCCAGAGGTGGGAAGAGGGTAGTGAAAGAGGCCCCAGCAGGGCCCTCCAGCCCACTGCTTCAAGCAAATCCAAGCTTTGGAGGCTGCAGGCCTAAGCCTAAAACCTGCCTCTGCATTTAGTCACTGTGTGACCTTAGGAAAGTCACTCTATCTCAAAGAGATTGTTTTTTTCTCTAAAATTGGGTAACACTTTACCTTATGGGTTTGCTGTGAGCATGAACTGAGAATACAAAAAGCATTTAGTTCAGTACTGATGCATTGTGAGTGCCCCCAAAATATTAGCTATTATTTCTTAAATCTCCCTCTTCTCCCTCTTACTCTCCTCGAAACTGTAGCCAGGGAGTCACTTACTGCAGTACATCTGTCCATTTATTCATTTCAACATTTATTAAACCAACAATGTGCTAGATCCTAGGAACACAGAGACTAGCAAATCATTAAAGCAAGAACAATATCTGTATTTCTTTGTTGCTATATCCCTAGCTCCTAGGTTTTCAATAAATAGTGGCTGAGTGAGTAAATTATATTGGCTGTTTTCTTGAGCACTTACTACATGTTAGGTGCTAAGCTAAGGATTAAAAAAAATTTTTTTTTAAATGTATCTTTATTGATTTCAGAGAGAGGAAAGGAGAGGGAGAGAGAGAGATAGAAACATCAATGATGAGAGAGTCATTGATCGGCTGCTTCCTGCACACCCCCGACTGGGGATCGAGCCTGCAACCCAGGCATGTGTCCTGACCGGGAATCGAACCCTGATCTCCTGGATCCTACGTTGACGCTCAACCGCTGAGCCATGCCTGGCTGGGCAAAGCTAAGCATTTTATCTGCATTACTGCAATGAATCCTCAGGAAAGCTATATCTTATAACATAAGACCTTAAGAAAGCTCACTTACTGACCTGGCCAGTGCAGTTGGGTTATATCCCATGCACCAAAATGTGGTGGGTTCAATTGCTGGTCAGGGCACATATCCAAGTTTCGGGTTCCATCCCCAGTAGGGGTGCATGCAGGAAGCAACCAATTGATTTTCACATTGATGCTTCTTTCCCTCTCTCTCTCTCTCTCTCTTCCTCCCTTCCTCTCTCTGAAATCAATTTTTTAAAAAATTAAAAAAAGAAAAAGAAAAAAGAAATCTCACCTACTGACAGTAAAATTGAGACTCAGAGAGGTTAAGCATCTTAGTTGACCAAAGACTCACATGCAGGAAATGGTGACACCCAAATTCAGTACACTGCCTCCACTAGTGACTGAATTGTTTTTTAATCATCATGACTGTTATTATGCCTGACCTCCAGAGGCTTATAGTCTAGCAAGGGTCCCGCGGCCGTCTCCTCTTTGGATTTAGCTGGGAGGGGTCCTGGGCATGGTCGCATACTTTAGCAGAGCTGGGTTCAAATCCAGGTGTGCATCTCTGGGTAAGTTATTTAACCTCTGTGAACCTCAGCTTCCACTTCTAGGAAACGAGGCTGGGTGGGCCTTAAATGAGAAAATGTGTGGGAAATTTCCAGCACCTGACCAGTATACAAGAGCCGTTTGATAAGTGTTACTCCCTTTATTTTTCCCCCTCCTCCCCGCCAGCTGCGTCCCTTGTCCAGGGACCTATGCAGGTGCTGACCACGCGCGCGAAGGAGCCGCCCTCCGCCTTGGGCTCTCCCGGCAGTGCCGAGAGCGGCCTCCAGGGGCGCCACCACACCGCCCCCGCCCGGGGCTGCTGTTCCCGCCGCGGCCGCGCGGGGCCGCCTGGGCCCGGAGCTCTACGCCGGAGGCAGGGAGGTCCGAGCCCGAGCTGAATCAAGGATTTCTTCAGACCACCGTGGTAATTAACAATAAACAACAACAGTAACAGCACCAGGTCCGTCGGTAACCAATTTAAAAGGGGCATTCGCGTGCTGGGAGGGTGGGAGACTCAAGGGAAGGAGCCAAGTTGAATCTCAGACCGGCTCCCAATCCGGACCTCTCACTCTCACGCCTACTCTGCAACCTGGGGCCCTCCCCCTCCCGCCCCATTGCTTTTCAGAGAGAGTGGAAGATACATGAGTGTGAGACACATCAATTGGTTGTCTTCTGCATGCACCCGGACCAGAGCCAGGGCAGCCGAGGTCCGTGCCCAGAAGCAGATCCAGGATCCTTAGTCCACAGGCCGAAGCTCTAACCACTGAGCCAAACCCGCTAGGGCAACCTCGGGCCTTTCGGAACCTGCTTCCTCAGCTTAAAAATGGGAAACATAATAATACAGCTCTTGAGAGGAAAAAATGAACTAGAGGGCTCATTGGAAAGCAACTTGGGAAAGTGCATGTAATGTAATTCTCACCTCTACCCTGTGAGGGAGCTAGTATTCAATTCCCTTTACAGCTGAGGAGCCATCTAGGCTCCCTGACTTCCCTTGGTCTCTGTCTCCTAGCACAGCCAGAGGCCAGTCCAGGAGCTCAGCCTCTAAATGCCACCAGCCAGCAGCGTCACTTCTCTGGAGTTGCTCTTTCACCTTCAGAGCCTCTGGCTCTTCTGGACACTGTCCTTCCAAATCCCCAGGTACAGGTTCAGGTGAGCAAACTCTGGCTATTTCCACTACACCCCTCCCCCACAAAACAAATAAAAAACCTGAAGCTCTGCCCCCTCTTCTTGACAATTTACCTCTTCCAAAGCCCCATCCAGTCAGCTCCTCCAGAAAATCTTTCCTGGGCTCTCTCTCCCCAGATCACAACCTTTGCATATGCTGTTCCCTCTACCTGGAACACCCTTTCCCCCAGCTCTAAAGCCTATTACTTAGGGTGCAGTTTAAGTATCACCTCTTCCAGGACATCTCCCTCCCCTGTGTTCCTCAGCCCTTGTTTAGTGCTTCATCTACCTCCATTACATAGTGATGCCCCTGAGAGCAGGAACCACACCTATTGATGGGCTTGTAGAGCTCAGCGACTGGCGCAAAGAGAACACGTGTTCGATGAATGAGTGATTCAACCCAGCTGGGTTCATTCACTGAGCTTTTGCAATAGCCCTCAGCTCAGAGGCCCATGCACAGTCACAGAAACAGAGGCACAGTCAGAGCACAGTCACACATGGTCATATACTTGCTCAGAGTCATAAACAGTTATATGCAAGAGGCACACACGCAGAGCCAAATTCATCTGTGCTTGTTTCTGCTTCTCTGTGTCTGGGTGCCTGCGTGTCTGAGGTATGTATTCACTCTCTTCTTTTGTGACTTGGTGTCACAGAGAACAAGTGTTGTGCCTCCTTTACCAGCCTGGTAGGACATAGGAGAGGATGAACTGCCCCATCAGATTGGGAATCCCAGGGGCAGTGTTATGTCTCCCCAACTTGTTTAGGAGGCTGGGCCAAGAAGTGTCTTCCCCACCAGCCTGGGAGCTCTCAGATTGGTCTGGTTCCCATCAGACTTGGAGGCCTTGGGGCAGAGCCACAACTCCCTCACTAACTAGTCTTGGGGCCCCCAATAATTAGAATGGGTCTGATTAAGCTGGATACTCCAGGAGTGGAGTGGAGCTGGATCTCTCCCCTTAGACTAGTCATTCTCACAGGCATGGCTGTGTCTTCCTGACCCCTCTCCACCACTGCCACTTGCCCACCAGGTAGGCCCTCCTCCCACCAAGGTACAGAGATTAGGGTTGGACTGGGCTGCCAGGGCTTTGGAAGCAGCAACAAGCCTAACAGCAAACCACACTACGAGAGGCTGGTCCTGAAGGATCCCCTAGGAGGGTATGACCTGGTCCAACTCAGTATGTCCAGGCGACTCATCCGTATGTCTTCAATCCCTTCACCAAAGCTGTCTGGAGTCCCTAGGCATGGCCCTGCAGCACTCTACCTCTATATGTTGTTTCATTCTCTCACCAATCCAATCTTGGGCCGTGTGATCATCGCCCCATTTATAGATGAGGCAACTGAGGTTTGGAGGAAAGCAGTGACTTGCCCTAAGTCATGTAGCTGGGAAGTAGCAGAGCTGGGCTGCCCACTGCACAGGCTGCCTCCCACCCAGGTTTGAGAAACACTGGGAGACAGATTTGACAGGTTGCAGTGACTGGTCATGGGTATGGGTATAGGCGTGTGTGTGTGTCTCACATGCCCAGGTTTCTGGCTCGGGCCCT